CCCATCCTATTCTCATCCACCCACCCTTGTAACCTGTCTAGGTCAGATTGTAGCCTGTTGCTTCCTTCTAGTGTGCCCATGTCCCCCCACAACGTAATCTTCTGTAATCTTCAAATTATGGATCTAATTCTGAGATGTTATGTAACTGAATGGTGTTGTCACAGTGAATGTTTATAGATTTAAAATCTTCCTGATCTGCATACATTTTAATGTGGCATTATTTGAATAAATTATTAAAAACAGGTATCCTTCTCAGAATGACTGTGAAAGATCCAGTGACAACTTTTAACTGTGGAAGTAGGTTTTACATCAGTCTCCTTCGTCCTAGTTTCTCTTCCATGGGAAATTGTGATGTCTGGCATGTTGTGGAATAGTTGTTCTACTACTGTCAAGCAGAAGTGGCTGTATTTCAGTTGGGCAACATGTATTTTTTAGGGCCAAGTGTTGAAATTCTTCCATGGGCAGACAAGGTACTTTGGTAAATGTGATATTTTTTTATTAAACTAGCTAAATAATTGGAAAAATTGTTCTTTGCAAGCTTTTGGGCACAAACACTCTTCTTAGGCATAGGGAGAATCTGCTATTGTTTTATGTTCTCCTGGATGGAATTGAAGCCAATATACAAAGTGCAGGTCTGTGAAAATGCAAGTGTGCGCCAGTGAAGATCAGAGGCGATGGGAGATAATAAGCGAGAGACAGGTAGGTAGGGGATAAAACAGGGGAATGTTGACCTATTGTCTCAAACCTACTGTCTTCTATCACTTCTGATCCTCACTGCCGCATATTTGGTTTTTCACAGGCTTCTATTCCATCCAGAAGAGCACAAAACACCCCTGCCCGAAGGAAAAGTGTTTGTGCCTGAAAGCTTGCAAAGGACAATTTTCCCAACTACTTAGTTGATCTAATAAAAGATTTCACATTTGCCCAAAGAACCTTGTCTGACTATGTCCTTAGACCAACACAGCTACAACCAACACTCCTGAAATTCTTCCATAGCACTGAACCTGAACCCAGTACCTATGCATTGATTTTGGACCTTCTGCCAAGGATATAAGATTATTTTCTTTCCTTGTACTGTTCCTCATTTGGAATATTCCAGGAAGCTTTTTCTGAGGTGAAAGGATTCAAAATGAGTCAGACATTTTGCCCATCAAGTTCTGTGGTGAAATTGATATGAAATAAGTGCTTCCTGTCGTAAATACTCCAATAATATGCATTTCTTCAGGAGAACAAGGAGGCAATATTGGCTTCATTTTACTAAGCCCTTACCCAGGTATGTTCAAGCTGACTGCAGGGAAAATTTGCCACGATCAAATTAAATCTGGGTCGGCACTGCCTGATTTTTGTGTACAGTTCATAGGAGTCCTTCAAAGTACAAGAAACTACAGCATATAATTGTAAAACAGTCTAAGACTGCACTCGGCATCTTTTAAAATCTGGAACAACCCTCAGCTCAGGATGGAGCATTTTGTCTTCAAAGCACTTTGCTAACAGGAAGTTGTTGAAAAATCAGCCCTCTTGTGAATTGTTTCAGTTAGTCTTTCTGCTTCTACTAAATGTACTTGTGGTCTCTAACCCTTTATAATATTCTTTCTTTCCATGTTGTTTCCTTTGATCAACTAAGGCTGCTTTTCTTCAGAAGTAGCGGATTTTGGACGCTATAAAAAATGTTACAATGCCATCTCCGTGCTGTGTTGATTGTGAAGAGGATTTTAGATTGTGTTCTGAATTGTTTTGGAATGAGGGTGAAGTTTGGAAATATGTATACATATGAATCTTTAACACTTCAAGTATTTTAAAAGCTGTTTGCCACTGTACAGGGGTGAATTTCACTGAGCAATACCAGATTTATGTAATTGCCTCTGAAGTAACATTGTACGGAATGTATTATGTCAAAATAGTATTTTGAAAATGAAAACTGTATCTGTATTGTATTTGTATTTTGTAAATGAAAACTCTAAAGCATTGAATTCATGCTCTTTTGCTTGAGAGTTCAGCATCTTGCAGGAAATTGGCAAGCCCTCTTCCCCTCTCTCCCCCAACCATGTGTTGCTGCTGCAAATCTCAGCCATCAGCCCTGATGTTGGGACAGCATAGTGTAAAATCATTTTTCAGTCCTTACCATCTCTTTCTGTCAACTTGGTATCTAAAAGCCTATCTTTTTTTTAAGTATATTTTCCCTTTGGAAAAAAAAAATATATTGTGTATTTTTATGGGTAATACACATTGTGATTATAGTTAATCCATTTGAGATTTCTGAACTCTATATTCTGTATTCTGACCCTGTTTTGAGTTGACTAGGAGCTCTAGTGGATATAAAGAATCATTTTGGACCACAGTTAAATACCAAGGCAACTTCAAACATTTAGTTGAAAGTGTGCATACATGTGTGTGTGCATGTGTGTGTGAGCATGAAACACAGAAGCTCATGTACCTCCAAAACTTAAAAACAAAAAGAACAAACTTACCAAGGAATCCAGACAGCCCCCACTCCACATACCATATTTGTTGCTTTGCTTTATTTGGGGGTTTTGGTAATTTTTTGTAAGTTTTGAAAATCTAAAGGGAAAAGTTACTTCTGGGTGCATGCTACTTTAAAAATGTGTCATTTTTATTAAAATAAAGATGTTTGGTCCTTAGACCTGTACTGTTCAATGTCTTCATTGGTGACTTGGATGAGGGTGTGGAGAGCACTCTGTCCAAATTCGTGGATGATACCAAAGTATGGGGTATCATCAGGTTACAGAAGCATTGGACACAGGTGCTGCAGTGGATGTAGTCTTTCTGGACTTCAGCAAGGCCTTTGACATGGTGTCCCACCCCATTCTCATTAAAAAACTAGGTGACTGTGGCATTGATGCCTACACAGATGGATTGCAAATTGGCTGAAGGGTCGTACTCAGAGGGTAGTGGTGGATGAGTCATTTTCAACCTGGAGGGAAGTGGGCAATAGAGTCCTCCAGGGCTCGGTCCTTGGGCCCGCACTGCTCAATTTCTTTGTTAGTGACTTGGGCGACGGGATCAAAAGCAGCCTGTTCAGATTCGCTGATGACACCAAGATTTGGGGTGAGGTGGGCACGCTAGTAGGGAAGGACAGATTACAGCAGGACCTGGACAGGTTACAGGGGTGGGCTAATGAAAATAGGATGGGTTTCAATACAGACAAGTGCAGGGTGCTGGACTTGGGCAGTAGGAACCAGCAGCACACTTTTAAGCTGGGAAACTCCTTCCTTGAGAGCACGGTGGCAGAAAGAGATCCTGAAGTCATTATTAACTCCAAGATAAACATGGGCCAGCAATGCGAGGTCACGGTCAGTAGAGCTAACCGTACCTTGTCGTGCATCCACAGATGCATCTCAAGCAGGGCCAAGGAGGTGATCCTCCCCCTCTATGCGACACTGGTCAGGCCGCAGCTGGAGTACTGTGTCCAGTTCTGGGCCCTGCACTTCAGGAGGGATGTGGACAGCATTGAGAAGGTCCAAAGGAGGGCCACCCACATGATCCAGGGACAGCAGGGCATACCCAACAAAGAGAGGCTATGGGACCTTAACCTATTCAGCCTTTGCAAGAGAAGGCAGAGGGGGACCTGGTGGCCATCTATAAACTCACTAGGGGGGACCAGCAGGGTTTGGGAGAGACCTTGTTCCCCCGAGCGTGCCCCGGGGTAACAAGGAATAATGGCCACAAGTTGTTAGAGAGTAGGTTTAGACTAGACATTCTAAGACACTACTTCATAGTCAGGGCAGCTAGGATCTGGAACCAACTTCCAAGGGAAGTGGTGCTGGCTCCTACCCTGGGGGTCTTTAAGAGGAGGCTTGACGTCTACCTGGCTGGGGTCATTTGAGTCCAGCTTTCTCTCCTGCCCAGGGCAGGGGGTTGGACTAGAAGATCTACAATGTCTCTTCCGACCCTAATTCTATGAATCTATGGGGTAGAGTTAACAGGGTAGAGGGTAGGGAACAGATCCAGGTGGATCTGAACAGGCTGGAAAGGTGGGCAGAACACAATGTGATGCAGTTCAACAAAGACAAGTGCAAAGTGCTGCACCTTGGGCGAAGGAATTGCCAACACCCATACACACTGGGGGAGGACCTTCACAGCAGCACAGAAGCAGAAAGAGATCTCGGGGTCATTGTTGACTCCAAGATGAACATGAGTCATCAATGTGATGGAAGTGATAAGTAAAGCTAACCACACTTTATCATGCATTAGTAGGTGCATGACGAAGAGGTCCGGGGAGGTGATACTTCTCTATGCGGCAATGTTCAGGTTGCAGTTGGAGTACTGCATCCAGTTATGGGCACCATACTTCAAGAGGAATGTGCACAACCTCAAGAGGGTTCAGAGGAGGGCCACTTATATGTTTAAGGGCCTGCAGGCCAAGCCTGATGAGAGATTGAGGGACCTGGATCTCTTCAGCCTCCACGAGAGAAGGCTGAGAGGGCATCTTGTGGCCACCTACAAATTCATGGGGAGGGGAATAGGAGATGGTCTATTTACCAGGGCACCCCTTACAGTAACCAAGAACAACGGCCACAAACTGGCAGAGAGCGGATTTAGGCTGGACATCAGGAAGAACTTCTTTACTAAGGGTTGTCAGAATCTGGAATGGGCTTCCAAGTGAGGTGGTAGACTCCTAGCTTAGGAGTCTTTAAGAGGAGGATAGATGTGCACCTGGCTGGAGTCATCTGACCTCAGCGCTCTTTCCTGCCATGGGCAGGGGGTCGGACTCAATGATCTACTGAAGTCCTTTCCGACCCTAACATCTATGAATCCTTAAATATTAAGCCAGCATTATTTTATTAGGTTGTCTTCATCATGGATCCAGGAGAAAAATCTTCTCTATTTTCTGTTTAGTAGTTTGTGTTCTCCCAATCAGCCCTTTAAAGAACTTAGAATTTTTCATTGGGAAAGAGCATTTCTTAAACGTCTTGTCCTACCTACAGCATCTTGATGTAGCAGACAATTAATTATGTATTTTGGTGTGTTAATCCTGAGGTCAGCACCAGTATTATTCATCAGATATTCAAAAGCTTTTCAAAGGTGATAACTAAGCAACTGACACATTATTATTAAAGATTAGTCATAGAAGATATCTGAAGCTACAGGAACTCAAAGAACAGTAACACATACCTTTTAATTCATTTGCTTTAATCCTTGAAGATCAAGTCATTATCTCTATCTGAGGAACAGTAAGTCACTTCAGGCAACATTCATGTAGACAACATTGTGAGGCCATTACAAATGCATGCTTTTTGAAGCAAGATTCTGAAAGTCCTGTCTGTGAAGCTCACTAACAGTCCCTTTCTATTGAAATCGGTGATAATTCAGCAGTCAGCTTCAACAGGAATAGACTCACTACACGCACAAAGAGGTAATCCATGCATCAGATGTATTTATAATACAAGATAGTATTCACTTAACATAAATGGGGCATAGGAAGGTTTTGCATTAGGTACTAAATTATCTTGAACATCAAACTCATAAGATATTGGCACAAAGTTTTCATTCTTGAATGGGTAAGGAGATAGAGAATTTTTGGCAATTTATCTTGGTTAACAGTCTGTAGAAGCAAGACAGTTAGCAGTTCCCAAACTTTACTGGTTCACATACCAGCTTCCTAAACTGTTACAGAGTAAAGAGTTGGAATGTAAACTGTGTGCACCGATGGTAAGCTGTGAACCACAGTTTGGGAACTAAAGCTTTGGACTCCAATTTCTGTCCCATTAGAACTCAAGAATATCTCTGGCTTTGGCACTGCAAGCATAAATACATTTTCTTTCATCCCTGCTTTATGTCCGATTGATTTAGCCTGCATGCTATTTTGACCTTTCATTTAAATGATACAGGCATGGCATTTGCTGTACCACTCTGGACTCTGTGCCTATGTTTGAGTGGAGGCTCTAAAGTTGCCAGTATTAAGAGGGGCTATCTACATTTTAACTCGGTTGCAACAGAACTTAGAGGGACATTTTCAATTGTGCCCTCTTAGGGGCCTTCTCCCACCTTCGTTGAAGTAGCAGAAATAAATCCCCTCAGCTATAGTGAGAGCCATAGGTGGATCCAGGATTCTGAAAAAGGAGAGCGTGCAGAAGCAATAACTAGTGTTCATGAATAGCTGCACTCCCCCCTCCCACCCTCCATCCCACTGGGGTAGACAGACCATAGGTGTGCAATGGGAGCAGCAGCTAGGATCTTAAAATCCCAGAATCAGTTAAGAATCCTTCCTCCTCTTGACATCCCCCTTCCATCCCATTTCCACCCTCACCATCTCTACTAATGTCTCTGAAAGCAGGAAGGAGAGACCCACATACTGCCCAGCTGCTCTGCCTTGCTCCAGCCAGGAACAATGGAGGTGGCAGGTGGATTTCCCTCCCTGTGCCTGCTTCCAGGCTGGCTGAGAACATCCAGGTGGACCAGGCAGGGTTGGGAAACCCACCTACTGCTGTCACTGTCCTTGGCGAAGCCTGGGTCCCTGGGTAGCAGCTCCTCACAGCCCCAGCTGGAGTAGGGTAGGAGCAACTCTGGGGCTCCTGCTGCCTGCAGGTCAGCCAGGGACAGAATAGCAGTGGATGGGTCCCCCCTTGTGTCCAGAGACATAAGCAGAGTGGGGGAGAAGGGAATGAGGGGAGTGCTGCTAAGCACAGAGGGAAAAAAGGGGGTGCTGAGATAGAGGATTTTTACCTATTTCAGGGCCTTAAAATGTCCCTGGCCACTGCTCCCACAGCATGTTCTGCACTTTGAACATGCTGGGCAGGGGACCAGAATCACCAAGCTACACTGTAGAATGTAGGTTATGACTGCACCACCACCCACCCTCAGGATCTGCCCAAGGTGAAAACAAGTACATAATGAAAAAGAAAATATAGTTACAATCTTCCACAGGAGACTTCAAGACATTTTGAATTCCAGTGAAGAAAAACATGACAGCTCATGTCTGCAAGGTGCTGACCTGTGTTGGGTATGGTGAAGTAATACTGGGGGAGCTTTAGAAGAGACTTAAAGAGGTGTCCCAGCACTTCTGGCTGCATAATGGTAGCGACTTTCTATATCCTCCCATGATGGAGCTATAGTAGAATGAGTGTATTGCATGGAGGTATTAGGAAAAACAATGGTGGGAGAAGCATTGCTGGGGGAAAAAAATGTTCCCATTGAAAAATAAGTTTAATAAAAAAAGATTTATTTTATAGGAATGTTAATTTTTCCAAACAATTTTCCAATGAAAAATGTAATTAAATGATTTTGTAAAAAAAATATTTTGATTTACACAGCAAAAAACCCCAAACCCTTCAATTAATTTTTCACTTTTCTCTCCCTTTTTCACTCCATCTCAACCAAAATCAA